TTTTCTTCGAGGAGTCCAGAACTCATGAATAATCAATTACTGCTCCAGTTCTGTTTAAATGGCTTTAATGATCCATGACTGCTCCAAAGTTAGTGAGAGTGTTCAAGGACACTTCCAAACCAGGCTGCTGTGCTGCTGCAGAAACATGCAGCTGTGTTTATCAGGGTCTGTGAGGCAGCCAATGAAATGTATTTTTGGAATACCTGCCAAGCTTAAAAAGTAGCGTCCAGAATATTAACAGATATTTTTAACAGAAACATTTGTCCACAGTTTTACAAATTTCTGTATTGAATCTAATCTGTGTCCTGCGTCACTGACAGTCGCAGCGTGATTCCTTATTCTAACGGCCAAATGGCATTTTGAAGTTACAGTTTAAACACAGTGTTATATAAAAGTTTACTTGAAAACAAACCACCTGCATCTCCTGAAACGTCACAGCTGAAATCATCTTTTCGGCTCTCCACTGGAGTGAACCAACACTTCCACTAACACTGAGACAAACTACCGAGCAGCTCAGCTTCCTTTCACCTGCTGTGCATCAAAGTGTTGAGAAGCTACTGCGTTCACATCCTGGTCACTGAGTGTGTTTCCCAGCTCGTGCATGACTTTGTCCATTTCTGCCGCTTGCCTACAAAACAGGAAAGTATTTATTGATTTTTAACAGATTGTTGGGAAAGTAGATAAACATTCATAAAACATGATAAAAGTTATCTCTGTGGTAGGAAACAGATATTAAATCATCTGAAGTGTGGTTGCTTAAAGGGAAAAAAAGATCTGACCTAATTTTAGTCCATGGAAGAAATTTAAGATGATGATCTATTTGATAATAGTTGTGTAAGACTAAAGGCAAAACTGTTGGCAATAAATATTTAGAAATAAGACAGAAAAACATGTTCAGGAAATCCAAAAATCCCAATCCAATGCTGTCGAACACCAACCTCTCCTGAAGCTTCTTAATCTCCATGTCTCGCTCGCTGATGAGCTCAGAGATGCTAACAAAGTAGTTGTGCTCCAGGTTGAGCAGCGTATCTGAGGCGGGGGAGTGGATCAGCTCATGGTACACATTGGCAAAGTCCTCATCCCAGCTGGGCTCTTCAGGCCGCGCATGTTCCAGTGTCGTCTGCAACAGTGACGGCAGGAAGCAAAACATCTTTTTGTTAAGTTGTAAGCAGTTAAAGAAGGGTGGAGGTACCAGGGTGGAGGTACAGTGCTTAACTAGAAAGAGACTAGAAAGAGAGAGCATATTTCTCCTGTTTTGGCTTCCCTTCATTGGCTTCCTGTTAAATCCAGAATTGAATTCAAAATCCTGCTCCTCA